TTTCCTCAGAAGATGCCTGCTCTTCCTGAAGACACCTCCTCTCCTCCTGGAGATGCCTGCTCTTCCTGAAGACACCTCCTCTCCTTGTGGAGACACCCTGCTCTTCCTGAAGACACCCCTTTCCTCATGAAGATGCCCTGCTCTTCCTGAAGACACTTCCTCTCCTCATGGAGACGCCCTGCTCTTCCTGAAGACACACCCTTTCCTCATGAAGATGCCTTTCTCTTCCTGAAGACACCTCCTCTCCTCATGAAGACACCCTGCTCTTCTTGAAGACACCCCCTTTCCTCATGAAGATGACCTGCTCTTCCTGAAGACACCTCCTCTCCTCATGCCATGAACTCTACACCTTTTACCTTCTCAGGACTCATCTCTGTCCTGCACTGAGGGTCTGTACTGGACTATCCTATCCATTTGCTTCTGTCTCCCTTTCAGAAGAAAAATTATAAAAACTCCCTCAACCACTCTGTAATGTAGAGGAAAACAAACTTGATTCCTCCCACCCTACTCTCACAAAACAACACAAGGTCTCTGTGACCTCTGGTCACCAAGAAGTGTGAGGACTTCTCCCACCACAAGCCATCGCCCGGTTCTCTAGTTTTTGCAGCAGACACCAGCTGGGTGTCCTCTGAGCCAGTTCATCTCTGTCACTATCCACCCAGGATGAGGGCTCAGTTCCCAAGACATCCCTCAAGTTGATGCGAATCACAGGCCCCAGATGTACCTGTTTTAGAGTGACCAGCCATAGTTGGGTTCCCTCCACTCCCCCCTTGGATTTGGTTAATTTTCTAGAACAGCTCACAGATTCGGGGAACTCTTGACTGATGCTTACTGGTTTGCTATAAAGGGTATTACAGATGGAGACGTGCATGGTGTAAGCCTGTGGAAAGGGCAGGAGCTTCCCTCCCCCAATGTGTGCTACCCAGGAACCTATGTGTATTGAGGTACCTAGAGGCCCCCCAACCTGCAGCAGCAAGAGTATCCTCATGAGACATCTCCCTGTCTGCACCTAGGCAGCACCATCAAAAATGTTTCCCTTTGGATGAATACCAAGGAGTGAGATGGCTGGGTCATGTGGTGGTTCCACTTTCCGCCCCTCAATGTTTATGGCAGCGCAGTTCACAACAGCCAAATTGCAAAACCAGCCCAGGAGCCTGTCAGCAGATGAATGGACACAGAAAATGTGGCACCCATACACAGTGGAGTTCTGCACAGCCATAAAGAAGAAGGAAATCATGACGTCGGCTGGTAGTGGGGGAAAGGGAGGTCGTCATGCTGAGTGGAACGTCAAGGGTTGGACGCTTTCTCTCATATCCGGAAGCTAGAACAAAATAAAGGGAAGCAGGGCCCGTCCCACTAAATAGAGAGGAGATGGATGGAGTAGAGGAAGGGGCTTGAGGGGGGAGAAGTGTGGAGTGAAGCTAGCGGGCCATGATGTACTGTGCTCTGTCCTGTGCGCATACTCCAGGGAGGACTTCACATGTATGTCTATGAAGCTCCAACTTAACAAACAAGAAAAGAATAAACGAGTGGACCAGAGGAGGGGACAGAGGGGTGCAGGGGAGGAAGTGGAGGTCCTAGGGGCTGACTTAGAGTTAATTAAATTCTCTGCATGTTTGATTGTGTCGCAATGAACCACACTCTGTAGAACTAGAACACACTAATAAAAACATGTTTTAAAAGGGGTTCTTCTGCGTTTACCTCAAGTTGTCTGATACTCAAGGCCCCTTACAAGTACCCAGGGTTTACAGAGCAGCTGGGAGTGGGAACTCAGGACTGGGAAGGGAGAGGGGAGCAGGGAGGTGGTCTCACAGTCAGGTGGCTGAGGGGGTCACTTAACCTTTATTGAGCTTTTATCACTAAACAATGTTTGTGAACAGTCTCACCTGAGGAGGTGATTTGAAGATAAAATGTTCCAGTTCCATTTGTTAGTTGAATCAGAATATCCAATACAGGGCTGGGGGTAGCTCGGTGGGAGAGCATGTGCTTACACGCTAAAGGCACCAGAAAGGAACAGAGAAGTGTGCATGTCAGCCCTCAGCCTGTGCAGGCTCAACGAACATGGGTGGACGCTGTTTTCCACTGTTGTCTGTTGAACAGGCGCAGACCTATTATTATTCACCAAACAATACGGTGTGACGCCTCTTGACAGCATTACTGTTGGTATGACAGGTCATCTAAAGATGACCAAAGCACAGGGGAGACTGTGCAGGTTCTTATAGAATGTGAGCTGCAACTGACTTGGGTATCGCAGTGTCCCAGAGTCGTCCCCAGCACACACCAAAGGATACTTCATTCAGGACTCAGCACTAGGGAAACCAGACAGTGTGAATGTCACAGTGCTGAGCCCCTTTCAGAGCTCCCACCTCCCAGGCGAACTCACAGCCCACCTGCTGCGCCCAGCCAAGATCACATGGGCCAGGCACACCCAGGCAAGCAGTGCAGGGCCTGGGGCGTCCACCTTATCTTATTTCTCTCATCTAATCTTCCTCCCATTTTTTTTTCTCACAAAGCAAACATTCTTTTAACAAAGTCCTCATCTTGGTAAGCAGCCTCAAAGCTGCTCAAAACGAAGCAGCCTGACAAATACATAAGCAAAACCACAGATTTCACAAGCTCCAGTCACACTTGTGGCCTTTTGTGATTCTGAAACTAGGAGAGGGTGGTAGCAAACTCTGTCCTCAGGGAACATAAAAGAATAAGCAGTGTCCAAGTAAATGGCAACACCTTCTTTCACAACATGGCAGGAGCCTTCCCATGAGCCGAGCAGAGGCCTTGGCTTTAGAGGCAGAGATGGGCTCGAGGAAGCAGAAACGGCAAAATGCCATCCATCCTTTAATGAGTGAAAGCTGAGGGGACTCCGCATATCCCAGATGAACCTGGCCTGTTGAGCTTTGACTCTGCCTCTCTCCTGATTTCCCCCGTGACCAGAGACATGGCTTAGCTTCTTCCCACCTGGGGAGGTGGAAATCAGCACCAGCAACTCCATTTTGGTCTGTCCAGTGGGCCTGATGCAGGAGCCTGGCCACACAGCTCTGCATGGCCCAGCTCTCAGGTCCAATGCACAGAAGTGACACGGAGGGACCAAGTACACACGTGTGCTTGGGACGTGTTGGTTGGTCTGCTTTTTCCTTCCTGGCATATAAGATAACCAGTTCTGGTTCTGTAGAACTTACAAATGTAGAACTTACAAATGAATATATATATATATATATATATATTTTAGATTTGTTTGTTTATTTAGAGACAGGTCTGGCTGTTGCCAAGTCTGGCCCCTGAGGTGATCCTCCTGCCTCAGCCTCCCAAGCAGCTGGGACTACAGGCCTGATCCAACATGCCTGGCTTGGTTTCACCAGAGCTTAGTTGCTTGGTAGTCTGCTTCTGTTTTCTTAAAATGACTCAATCTCATTTATTTTTATATACAAATTAATGGTATTTATAGCAAAAATCCAAACAATTAAGAAAGACTAACATTATCCATGATCTTCAAACCTGTGGTAACCAGGGATAAATTTTAAACATGAACTCCTGGGAGAATGGGAGTTACATTTATTATATATTAAAACTCACATTTGCACAGTGTTTTGAGATTCACTTTCATAGTCCATTGTGTTTCATGATTTCCATTCTATACCAAATATGCCTGCTCAAGATCCATGACGTTATGGTTTGGACCTGAACATCCCCATAGCCCCATGGGTTCATACGTAGGATTGGGGGAAGTGACTGGATTATGAGGTGCTGGCCTCCTCAGGGGATCACCCCAGTGATGACTGCCTGGATGCCTGGGAGGTAGGAGGTAGGGAGGAAGCTGGTCCCTGGCCCATACCCTGCAAGGGGTCATCTTCTCTCCCTTGTCTCCCTCTGCTTCCCCACCATGAGGTGAGCAGCCTTCCTCCACATGACCTCTGCCTCACCTCAGGCCAGGCATCAGAGCCAGCTGACCATGACTGAGACCTCGGAAACCCTGCCCCAAATAGATATTTTCCTCCTCCAGGTTGTTTGTGTTGGGTATTTTGGTCATAGTCATGAGAAGCTGACTAGCACAAATGACAAGGAGTATTTACAGTATATAGCATCCTCTCCCCTAGGAATTTGAGCTTGCCCTTCTTCAGACAAGAACGGGCTCCTAGCAAGCAATGCATTCAATGGAGAGCGTTCATTCCTGGTCAATGTAACGGAAAACTCTAGACCCTCGCAACATGAATTTGAGACTGACATTAGAAAACAGAAAGCCAAAGGGTTACAGCCTAAGGTGTGGCTTAGGAGGGTGACCAGGACTCTACTCCTGAGGATGAGGAGGAAGCACATGGCCCCACATCCCCCAGGAGGCCACCAGGGCCCTGCTTCCCAGGAAGGGCTGCAAAGGACAGAAAGCCAGGCACCTGCCCAGCTGGCAAACGCCCACTGCTGAGGACCAAGCCCGCACTGTCCAACCCACCAGAAAGTCTCAAGCATTTCAAAAGCCTGGGGCTCTCCCAAGTGGCTCTGGCCCCAGGGACATCCAAGACAGAAGCCCACAGAGAAGGCAAGGCATAGAGCAGTCTGCAGGCAGTAGAGCCCAAGGAGCGCAGCTGAGAGGGACCTGGGTAATGGTCACCACCTCCCACTGTAACAGTGTCCACTTCAGGCTTTGAATGTGGCCCTGCTGCTCTGCCACTGGCTTTTTTTTTTTTTTATTTTTTTTTATTTTTTAGTTCTCGGCGGACACAACATCTTTGTATGTGGTGCTGAGGATCGAACCTGGGCCGCACGCACGCCAGGCGAGCACGCTACCGCTTGAGCCACATCCCCAGCCCCGCAACTGGTTTTTAAATGGACAGGGTTCTTTCTCTTCCTGCCACAGTCTGGCTGGGCACAAATGCCGCAGTCTGGCTGGGCACACAATCATGAGCCACCACACAGCTTGTAGATTCAAACAGCAACTCTTTATTCCCGAACTCACACCAGCCGTCTACCAACACGTTCTGGGGAAATCCACGTTCTCTGCCCAAATCCACCTCCACTGGGCTTCTATCTCCAAAATATACTGTCTGAATCCCGTGAGAACTGAAGGGGAACTCAGGCAGCAGGATACGCCCTATTCCCAGCAGGAATAATCTTAAACCTTAAACCTGGAACCTAAACCGGGAACGCCCTAATCCGCCTTGGTCCTTGAACAAGGTCACCTACATTCAATGTCACTGCAACATGGGGTACGCTGGCAAGGAAATTGTCATACCTACTTGGCTAATGGCTCCCAGCATCTTCCTCTCTCCCTGCTCCTCCCTAATCTCTCCCTGTTCCTCCCTAATCTCAGGGGAGACAGGATCACCTTTCTGGCCCATCTTAGGCAGAGGTATCTGTCCCTGAGCACACACCCACCATAGGAAAGAAGTCCTCCAGACTTTGGGGATGGCACCAGAACGTCTCAGAAACGACCATCTCTCAAATTAACTCCAACAGAGAGCACGGGGAATGCAGCCTTTGAGTCACCTCTTTAACAGCCCCCAGTTCCTGCTGATGGCAGGATCACAGCCTCTGGGACAGGAGTGCCCTGTGTCTCCTTTGCTAGTGAAGCTAGATTTAACGTTAGGTAGTCAGTGTAGTTAGGTAAATCGGGTCTAATATCGAGTAAGATCTAAAATGGAGGCCATGTTGAATGAATTCCGGGAAACGCAGGACAACTCATGGAATGTTAATGAAGTCCCGAAAAAGCCCTAGGCCCAAAGTCCATCCCAAAGGAATGTTAATGGAGCCCAAAAAACAGCCCCCAACAGATTTGGAGGTAGCCCATCCCAAAGAAGTGTTAATGAAGTCCTCCCTGCC